GGTCTCGAAGCCGCGGGCTCAGGCAATTCACTCGCCTCAGCCTCCCAAAGTGCTGGGATTACAGGCTGAGCCACCGAGCCCGGCTTTTTTTGATTTATTGTCTCACCAAATTGCCTGGGTGAGTCTCGAACCTGCGGGCTCAGGCAATCCACTTCCCTCGGCCTCCCAAAGTGCTGGGATTACGGGCTGAGCCAATATTTATATAGTAATATATAAACACCAAGAAGTCCTCATTATTTATTTATTTATTTATATACTTTTTTCCTTATTTGGTGTCTCACTCTGTTGCCCATGCTGGAGTGCAGTGACACAATCATGGCTCACTACAGCCTTGACCTACTGGGCTCAGGTGATCATTCTGCCTCAGGTCCTTCAAGCAGCTGGGAAGGTGGGACTACAAATGCATGCCACCATGCCTAGCTAATTTTTTTATTTTTTTTTTGGAGTTGGAGTCTCACTCTGTCACCCAGACTAGAGTGCAGTGGCACACTCCTGGCCACTGCAGCCTCGACCTGCTGGGCTCCAGTAATCCTTCCGCCTCATCCTTCCAAGCAACCGGAACTACAGGTGTGTGCTACCACACCCAGCTAATTTTTTTGATTTATTGTAAACACGAGGTCTTGCCAAGTTGCCCAGGTGGGTCTCGAACCCGTGGGCTCAGGCATCGCTTGCCTTGGTCTCCCAAAGTGCTGGGATTACAGGTTGAGCCACAGAGCCTGGCTTTTTTTTTTCTTTTTTATTAAATAAGGGTGAGATCTCACTATGTTGCTCAGGTTGGTCTCAAACTCCTGGGCTCAAGCCATCCTCTCACCTCGGCCTCCGAAGGTGGTAGGCTTACAGGCATAAGCCACCATATCTAGCCATCCATTTTTTTTTTTTTTTGAGTTGGAGTCTCACTCTGTCGCCCAGAATGGAGTGCAGTGGCCGCTCCCGGCCACCGCAGCCTCGACCTGCTGGGCTCTGGCGATCCTTCCGCCTCAGCCTTCCAAGTAGCTGGAATTACAGGCACGTGCTACCATGCCCAGCTAATTTTTTGATTTACTGTAGAGATGAGGTCTCGCCAAGTTGCCCAGGCGGGTCTTGAACCCGCGGTCTCAGGCAATCCACTCACCTCAGGCTCCCAAGGCGTGGAATTACAGGCTGAGCCACCGAGCCTGGCTGGCCATCCATTTTTTTTTTTTTTTTGAGTTGGAGTCTCACTCTGTCGCCCAGACTGGAGTGCAGTGGCCACTCCCGGCCACCGCAGCCTCGACCTGCTGGGCTCCGGTGATCCTTCCGCCTCAGCCTTCCAAGTAGCCAGAATTACAGGCATGTGCTACCATGCCCGGCTGATTTTTTGATTTATTGTAGAGATGAGGTCTTGCTGCCCGGGCGGGTCTTGAACCCGCGGGCTCAGGCAATCCACTCACCTCAGCCTCCCAAAGGCGCAGGATTACAGGCTGAGCCACCGAGCCCAGCTGGCCATCCATTTTTTATACAGATGTATTAACACTTTTAAAGATACCCTCTATGTGTCTGTTTAGCTTAGAAATGCTTCTGAAAATACCAGGCCAAGTTTTCTTCTAGTATTTTTGTGATTTTTGATTCTAATGAATACATCTTCAATCTGTCTGCAATTAATTTGGTCATAGGACTGAGAGTCAGAGGGAGGTGGTGGCAGGAGGGAGTGGAAGTGCTGTTCTTTCTCCCAGGATAACTGTTGGGGTTTCCTTAGGGAAGACCTGGCTCAGCTGCCCTTCCTGACCATGTGCTTGAAGGAGAGTCTGCGGTTGCATCCCCCGGTCCCGGCCATCTCCCGCTGCTGTAGGCAGGATGTTGCGCTCCCTGATGGCCGTGTCATCCCCAAAGGTGCCTACCATGGCAAGGGAGGAGGCTCCTGGGCAGGGTGGCGGTCCCTCCAGGCTGTGTGGACCTAGTCCTGACTGTCCCTCCTTCTCTGCAGGGAACATCTGTACCATCAGCATCTTCGGTCTCCATCATAACCCCTCAGTCTGGCCAGACCCTGAGGTACTGCCCTGCCCCCTCTCCATCCCCTGGACCTGCTGAGGGTTGGGGTATTGACTGGGGAAATCAGATACTCTCCCTCTGCTTTACCCATATGTGTTTTTTCTGGGGTTGGCTGGGTGTCTTGAGAGGCCCCACCCAGCAGCCCCATCTTGCCCTGCCCCAGGTCTACGATCCATTCCGCTTCAACCCAGAAAACTCCCAGAAGAGATCACCTCTGGCTTTTATTCCTTTCTCAGCGGGGTCCAGGTGAGATCAGGAGACCTCTGGGGCAGGAGTGGGGTGAGATGTCCTTAGAGGCCTGACTTTCTGGCCATCATGAGTTTTTTTGGGGAGGGGTTTGGGCTTAACAAGATTCTAGGAAAAAAGGGGGTGTATTTTCAGGTACCCTTACCCCTAGATTTCCTGGTCTCAGTTAGGGGTTGGAGTCTAGACCAAGCTCAGGGGATATACAAGCCCACGTGGGAGTCCCAGGCATGGGTAAGTCCCCCACCCAGCTGACTTGCCTGATTGTCTTGGACCATGTTCCAGAAGCAGTGGGACTGAGGTGAGTGTCTTGGGTGCAGTCACAGTCCCTATCCCCGCCCCCAGGAACTGCATCGGGCAGACGTTCGCCATGACTGAGATGAAGGTGGTCCTGGCACTCACACTGCTGCGCTTCCGCGTCCTGCCTGATGACACTGAGCCCCGCCGGAAGCCCGAGCTGGTCCTGCGCACAGAGAGTGGACTTTGGCTGCGAGTGGAGCCGCTGAGCACAGGCCCCCAGTGACCCACCAGGACCAGATCTGGGACCGACCCAGACGCCACCCACCTAGTTTTGCAGATTCCCAGAAATAAAACTGTGCTGTTGCCTGTGTCTGAGTGTCACTGAGAGTCAGCAGAAGGTGCCTAGGGATTGTGGGAATTCAGTGGGTGGCTGACTGGGTGACCCTAGGACCCTGACCCTATCTCCCTGGTTAACCACGGGACTTTTTTTTTTTTTTTGAATCGGAGTCTCTCTCTGTTTCCCACGCTGGAGTGCAGTGGCACACTCATGGCCACCCCAGCGTTGACCTGCTGGGCTCTGGTAATCCTTCAGAATCAGGCTCAGGCAGTTCTCTAACCTCGGCCTCCCAAAGTGCTGCAATGATAGGCGTGATCCCCTACACCCAGCCAAAATCAGAAATTTGATGGTACTTGGTAACCTTCCTTGAGAGAGAATGCTGGGATCCTCTCTCTGCCCAATGTTCCTCCTTCCTGCTGGTTGCAAGATTGAGTTGATAGTTGGAGGTCCATCTTGGACCATAAAGACAGGAAGGAACTCTTTCTAGAAGATGGCCAGATAGCTAGACCAGTCAGGATCAGATGACCCTGGATCCATGTTAGGATCTGAATGTTTGTGTCTCTCCTCTCCCTTCCCCCCAAGTTCATATGTTGAAACCTTGTTTGCAATGTGATGATGTTGATTAAGTCATGAGGGCTCTGCCTTCATAAGTGGGATTAGTGCCATCTAAAAGAGACCCAAGAGAGAATGATAAATTGTGAGGAATTTTTTTTCATTGGCTACTACTTCAAAGTTAAATTTGACTCAATTATAGTAATGTTATTGGCCTAGGTTTTGGATATGTTAGTTCCCTGCATATTAGTGCAGTTTCAGCTTTTCTGATGTTCTTTTAAAGCAAAGATAAATTAATGTACTGTAAAGTGCACAGCTGGATGATTTTTGCATATGTATGTTCCCATAAATATAATTTTTTCATATTCCCATAAGCTTATGTTGTACCCCTTCCTAATCAATTAGCTCCCAACTCAATCCTTATTTTTCTGACTTCTATCATAGATTAGTTTAAGTCACTCTTGAACATCATATAAATGGAATCATAGGGTATATAATCATCTGTGTCTGCCTTATCTCACTTAATATGAGGCCTTTAAAATACATCTGTACCATGTGTACCGGTAGTTTATCCTTTTTACTTCTGGATAGTCCACTTTATGAAGGCATCACAATTTTTATTTGCTTTTTTTTTTTGAGTTGGGGTCTCGCTGTGTTGCCCAGACTGGAGTGCAGTGGCACACTTCCAGCCACCGCAGCCTCGACATGTTGGGCTCCAGCGATCCTGCCTCAGCCTTCCAAGTAGCTGGAACTACAGGCATGCACTACCATGCCCAGCTAATTTTTTTGATAATATTATAGAGACGAGATCTCACCAAGTTGCCCAGGTGAGTCTCAAGCCTATGGGTTTAGGCAGTCCACTTACCTTGGCCTCCCGAAGTGCTGGGATTACAGGCTGAGCCACTGAGCCTGGCTATTTGTGCTGCTTTTGATGGGGGTATGAGTTTTGGGGTATTATGAATAGAGCTGATGTGAACATTTGTGTGTGATTATTTTGGTGGATATGCACACATTTCTATTGGGTATATAGCAAGAAATAAATTTTCCTTTTAGTAAAAAAAAAAAAAAAAAATGCCCAAGGGAGCTTGTTCACCTTGCCCTTTATGGGAGGACATATAGACAGCTCCATCTATGAGGAACAGACCCTCATCAGACAGAATCTGCTTGCACTTTCATCTTGGTCTTCCCAGCCTCCAGAACTTTGAGCAATACATTTTTTTTTTAATTGCCCAGTCTAAGGCATTTCACTACAGCAGCCCAAGTGGACTAAGATAATCCACATCAGTTTGGAATTGTACTATGACAGAATTCTGGTCTGAGCCGGGCTTGGTGGCTCAGTCTGTAATCCTGTGCCTTTGGGAGGCTGAGGTGAGTGGATTGCCTGAGCCTGGGGGTTTGAGACCAGCCTGGGCAGTGAAACCTCATCTCTACAATAAATCAAAAAGTCAGCTGGGTGTGGTAGCGCGCGTCTGTAATTCTGGCTACTCGGAAGGCTGAGGCAGAAGGATCGCCGGAGCCCAGCAGGTCGAGGCTGCGGTGGCCAGGAGTGGCCACTGCACTCCAGTCTGGGCAACAGAGTGAGACTCCAACTCAAAAAAAAAAAAAGAATTCCAGTCTGCTTATTTACTAGCTGATTGACATTGGGGGGGAATTGTTAACTCTCTAGGCCTCAGTTTGTTTACTACTTCATAGTTTCTGCTTTATCAGGCTGCTGTGAAGTCTGAACGAGACTGCACATTTAGTATAATTGAGTCAAATCTATTGAGCATCAAAGGTCCATGAGGGTTAACTTCTTTTTTTCATCACATTTAAAATTTTTAAAGTGCTTTAAAATCACAAAGGGTAACCTTAAGATTTGGGAAGTGTGGCAACTTGTGGTTGAAGAAAACTCACTGGAATATTCAGTAAGCTCAAAATATCCAGTGTTATCTGGGCCTTTGGTGCAAAGATGTCCTGAAGCTTAAAAGTGAAAACAATTTATGATCCCCAACTTTATTCTTATCTAGATTTTTCCAGGAAGTGGAAGTTGCGCACGGGTTTTGAATAGTGGGAGGAAGGCAGAGAGGGTAAGGAGTGGGGGGGGGGGGGGGGGGGGGGGGGGGGGGGGGGGGGGGGGTGTCTCGCTTTTTCAGCACAAAGGACAGCGGACACACCCGGACTTCCCACTGCCTGACTGTAGGGGGCTCCCGCAGGGTACAGAATCCAAGGACTGAAAGCCTCTCAGGGGCCAAAGATTGGGAGACTAGGAGGTTAGGGTTAGGGTTAGGGTTAGGCAATAAATAAAGTATTGCAGTGAGTGGATTGCCTGAGCCCGTGGGTTCAAGACCCGCCTGGGCAACTTGGCCAGACTTTATCTCTACAATAAATCAAAAAATTAGCCGGGTGTGGTATCGCGCACCTGCAGTTCCAGCTACTTGAAAGGCTGAGGTGGAAGGATCGTTGGAGCCCAGCGGGTCGAGCCTGCAATGACCGGGAGTGTGCCACTGCACTCCAATCTGGGCGACAGAGTGAGACTCCAACTCAAAAAAAAAAGAGTATTGCAAAATGAAATGAACGAATATTTAATATATTCTCAGCTGAGAGACACGTGTGTTTCTTTACCTTTAGAGTTCTTTTTTTTTTTTTTTTTTTTTTTTTTTT